AGTCAGCAGGACGTCGTCACAGAACCATTTCCTATATAGTCCTCCTTGTCCCCTTGTTAAACAACATGCATATTTGGGTTGGAACTGTGATTTCCCATTGAAGTGATCAGTCACTGATCCTACTCCCCGTTCCTATTCCCTTTTGTTTTTACAGATTCTCTTTTATTTTGATATATTTTTTACTGTCATTTTCACCATTGAAATTGCTCTGAAGGTAAAGTGCCCATCTTCTCTACCATCACTTGTTCACAAGCTTACTAGTTTTCTGCCACTATCTGTTGCTAACACACACACCTGTTTGTTCCTGGGTCACACTCAGTACCACTAACCCAATTGTGCTTATTTTTCAGATCCTAGGCAATGCAGACTATGTCTTCACTAGTATCTTTACATTAGAAATTATTCTTAAGGTAACCAATCTGAGCAATACACTCGTTTTCTCTCTCCTTCCTTTCTGTCTCTGTCTTTTCTTTTTCTCTCTCACTGTTTTCCTTCCTTCCCTCCCTCCTTTCTTTTCTTTCTTTTCTTTCTTTTTTCTTCTCTTTTCTTCTCTTTCTTCTCTTTCTTCTCTTTCTTTTCTTTCTTTTCTTGCTTTTCTTGCTTTTCTTGCTTTTCTTTTCTTTCTTTTCTTTCTTTTTTAACCCCATTATTATCTCTACACAAACGTTTGTTTATCTTTTGATTTTAATGTTTTGGTAGTTCCTTAAGAAGTCTGTGATTTTTTTGTATTCAAGCATGTGTAATTCAGAGCCTATATCAAAACAGTGGTTTTTAGGAGAATCACAGTGAAAGGATGATCTTGTTTGAAGAAGTAAGGGGCAGCCAAGAAAAAAGGCCATCACCCCATAAATTTCTCTGCCTTGGCCAGTCTTTCTAAAACAGGATTTGTTTGCTTTTCAAGAAACCTGAGCACATAAAATCATAGAATCATTCTGGTTGGAAGAGACCCTTTAAGATCATCAAGTCCAACCATGAACCCAGTACTGCAACATTACCACAAAACCATGTCCCTACGTGCTACATCTACATGCCTTTTAAATACCTTCAGGGATGGTGACTGGACTCAGCCTGGTCCAGTGCTTGACAACACTTTCGGTGAATAAATTCTTCTTAATATACATAAAAACATACACCCCCTTTTACACGTGCTACAGCCCAAGGAGTTCTCCATTCTGCACAAGTCATGAGGCTGAGCCAGAGGGCGGCCAGTGAGTTCTGCAATGTTACAGGGTACACAGCCAAGCAGGAGACAGGGAACACAGTGCAGAAGCTCACTTTTTAGGTGTACAAAGGTAACTGAGAATACAAATCACTGAAACACCAAGGACTGTAGCTATGAATGAAAATTGCTGCATTGCCTGTTTGCAGCCTGGCTTCCTGCTCCACAGAAACATGCTCTATACTGAGGGGAACATGCAGGGGAATGGTTTAGCTCAGAAGAAAATAAAAATAGGCTATGTTGTTCTTAACTCTGATTTTCCAAAATTGATAGGCTAATAATTTAAATAACAGTAATTGAGTAAAGTTCTGGCTTTCTAAATGCTAGGTTCACTTGGCAGCTTGATTTTTTTCTCAGCAAGCTAGTTCTATGTGCTGGCAGGCAGTACCTTAGAGTTGCTCAAATCTTGCAGCTCAAGACCCTAATAACAGTATCCATACTGAAGGCTGGCAAGCAGAGTGGCCCCTGCATATTTTTGTGGAGAAACATGCTTTTTGATATGACTTAAAATCACCGAAGCTACAATGTTCTCCACAGAGATGTGCATATTATGCTTGTGTGCAGTGGGCATCTGTGTCTACAGAGTAAATCTGAACATGCATATACCAAATGGCTGATCAAAAAGGCCTGTCAAAAAAAGGGAAACGTCTCAAGAGCAACATTTAAAAATAAAACCATAGTTCAAGCCACCTGTTTGAACTAATTCTAATTCTGCTCCCACTGAAGCAAATGGTAACACTGCTAACGACTTCAGTGGAAGCAGAACCCATTGGCTTATTGCTTTATTTTCATCTGGGGAGAGTACTACATAGTACCTGAGCCTTCCCAATGTCCTTCTGTTAGCTCCAGTGGATTTATATCAACAGCACTGGATATTCTTTGGGTTCAAGTGGTAGAGGAGTGCAAGGACTACAAATGTTTAAGAAATTCTTCTGTTCTTATCCTGTCAGTTCCTGCCTCACAAGTTGCACGGTTTCTCAGTGTACATTTCTCTGCTCCATTGCACTGAGCACAATGTTTTGCACAACAGCAAAGTTAGTGTAAATAGAAATAAACAGAAGAATAAATGGCCATAGGATGTTCAAAGCTGTAGAGAACAAGAATCATGTTGCTGATGGCACCTGCAAGCCTCACACTGCCATGGTGGAGTCCGGTGAATGATAGCAAAGTGACCACTAAGTTTTTTTAATTGGCATCCTAAAAGCTTGTTGAGTTCCCCAGATGGAAGGCAGGCATGGATTATACTCTCTTTGGAAGTCTCTCCTGAGATAACAAAATCTCTCAACAATTTGTGTAGAATTTAAACTCAGCAGAGCTTCCCCTCCTGATTTCAATGGTGTCTCCTTTCTTCCAAGATTGCCATACAAAATCTAACCAGTAAAGGGCATCTTTACCACCTTTGTTATGGCAAGAACCCCTCCCCCCTTCCCCACTGGAATGTGTCTATAAGTATAAATTCTAAACCAAGACCAGAGTTTATACTTCCTCCCCTTCTAAGTTCTGTCTGACTGCTTGATAGTCAGTTCCCTGGTGTCACGGATGGTTGGTGAAAAAAAATAATCTGATACACCACGTGCCCTTCCACCCTTCTCTAAATAAAGCTGTCACAGGTAGGCATGGCTGGAAACCACTAGCAGGTATGCTATCCTGAGCTATTAGTGGGAGCTGGAAAACTCCTGTCTGAATTTCTAGTTCACACTTCTCATTTAGGAGTCTGTCTAGAGCTTGTTGTTGAGGAACAGTCTCACAGTGTCTCCTTCAGGTTACTTTAGACATCTAACTTAGACATCCAAAGAGGACCAAATTTAGAAAGCTATGTTCCTAACTCAGGTAATGGAGGGACATTAGCCGTTGTGGGGATGGGGTTTCTTCAAAGCAGCTACATTAGATTGCTCACTGAGTCTAAGGTAGGTGATGCAAACACCCCCATCACTTCACCCTCTTTAACTGTACCAGATTCAGTCTAAACTTCACATTCTCAGCTCAGAAGTGTTTAGGTCTGACATTGTGGCTGAGAACCATTCTGTTTACAGTCAGTCGAATTCTGGAGCTGTGATATTGTCCTCAAAGCCAGCAGATATTCAATACCCCTTCATGCCCAGATGAGGCAGAGAGCCTTGTAAAATACATAGAATTTTCCCTTCCTCTGATGGGTGATGTTCATAATGATTACCTCCACAAAGCAGTCACTCTGTCCCAAGGAATCTTACCTTGGGCTTTGTGAGGAAAACAAGGAGGGAAATACAACTGCTTCTAGAATAAAAATGGTAGAAGCTGGATAGAGATAGGAAAAGGGATACAGGACTGAGCTGAACAGGAGAAGCAAACTGAAGAAAGCAAGTATTGTCTTTCCATAGTTAGGTCTTCCATAGTTATCTTACTGTCTTCTTCACTCTCCTTTCTTTCAATGGGTTTTCAACTTCTCCCTTGGGGCCTGGGGGTAAATTGTCTGCTATGTTAGAAATACTGCCCCTCCCCAGTGATAATACTTAGCACGAACAGATGGCTTTGGTTTCTGAACAGATGCTAACAGCAAAGTGTGTTTGTATCTTCGTGTGCCTTCCTGCAGATGACCGCATACGGGGCTTTCCTCCATAAGGGCTCCTTCTGCAGAAACTATTTCAACATCTTAGACCTGCTGGTGGTCAGCGTTTCTCTCATCTCCTTTGGGATCCAGTGAGTGAGCTATTTTTATCTGGCTGGTTTTTTGGGGTTGTAAGGCTGAGTTGAGAGGTGCTACCTCAGGCTCATTGTCTTACTTGGGTAAGATTTTTCTCATGAGCCTGGAGGTATTTTTCTCAGGTGATTCAAGATCATTAAAATGCATCCTGAAGAGGGGAGGTAATAATTGTGAAATGCTACTCTAGTGATCTGGAAGGGAAGATCTTCCAGAAAGAGCAAGTGAGAACAAGAAATTGGGTCCATTGAGAATTGTGGTGCTTAGCTTTATTCCAAGCTTGGATTCACTGTATCAGTTCAGGACTATTATGTGACTTACTATTCCCTCCTAGAAATGTCATAACCTCTTTGGAAAATATGGTGATAATGTTTTGCTACTACCTAAGGTATTGTGGGTCTTGGTCACTGGAAGACCATCAAACACTTGAAGAGCTTTGTGAGAATCTGCAGAGTACTGGTGGCAGTGACAGTTGCTCCTGCTTCTGACATGCCACTTTGTGTTGGATGATCTGTTAATTTGTTTAATAAATTTATAGTTTTACTTGGCTATGTGGAACTGTATGTGTCAGGTGGGGAGTTTCCTAAGTAGCATCACATCTGATAAGAAATCAGCTCCCAGTTGTTATCATTACAGGTTAGCAGCTCACACATGTTATGTTCCAGAGCTAAGTCAAGTAGAAATGTTTGTCAGGTCCATTGGGCTTTCAGTCAAGGTATTAAGAATGGCACAGTGCTCATTTTGATCTGTGGTTTCATTCTTACAGACCTAACTAGACTCTTCATGCGTTAGCAAAAAAACTGTTCCCGAAATCAGTAGGAGGCCCTGATGTCATAAGCATGGAGAAGATTCTCAGTCACGGTTTTAGTCTTGGAAAATGCAGTCTATTCTGTTACAGCAGATAATTTTGTTCAATACTAAATTTTAAGTACATATGTCATCTGCACCTAAGTACCTCAATCAATACAGGGGGAGTTTCCACATCCTTAAATTTAGGTAGACAATTGATTTGTGGGGTCAGAGGTCAAACAGATTGCAGGATCAAACTCCAGGTGGACAGTATACCTTGAATGCTGGAGTCACTTGCAGTTTCCACTCTTCTATGAGTATTTCAGTGGAGTGCTTCTTTGAGCCCTATCTGAAAATGTCTTGTGATGACTACATCTTGGCACAACTGCCATGTCATAGTTATCTATAGAGTATTTGGCAGCTTGCCCTACTTAAAAAGTACCCTTCCCATGTTCCATTCCCTCTATTAATACACCAGAGATGATGAAAGCCAGGAGAGTGTATACTGAGCTTGCCCAGACCAGGAAGCAAGATGTATGAAGGTAACATCAAAGAGTAGTTTCCTTATCCCTGAAACGTCTTAGCAAAGAGTTGACTCTCTGAATCCTAAGCAGCCTAAGGCTATGTAGGATTTCAAACACAAAAGAGTAGGTGAAATCTATCTGTCCTTGGAGCATACCCCCTATATTGCTGTATCTCTCAAACCTTGCAATACTTTCTTTCAGGTCCAGTGCTATCAATGTGGTGAAGATCTTGCGTGTTCTGCGAGTCCTTAGACCACTGAGGGCCATCAACAGAGCCAAAGGACTAAAGGTTAGAAGAGTTCAAATACATCCTTTAAACTATAAATTCAAGTTATTTCAGGCAACAAGGACTTTGCAGTGTTTCAAGCAGTGTTTCAGCAGAATTACAGAATGATTGAGGTTGAAAGGGACCTCTGGAGATTTTCTTGTCCAACAACCTTGCTTAAGCAGGGCCACCAAGAGCAGGTTGCCTAGGATGATGTCTAGATGTTTTTTTTAATATCCCCAAGGAGGAAGACACCACAACCACTCTGGGCAACCTATTCCAATGCTTAATCACACCTCACAGCAAAAAAAGTGTTTCCAAGTGTTCCAATGAACCTCCTGTGTTTCAGTTTGTGCCTGGTACCCCTTGTCCTTTCAGCGGGCACCAGGCTCTGCCTTCTCTGCACTGTCCCTTCAGGTGTTTATATACAATGACAAGATTTCCCCAAGCCGTCTCTTTTCCAGGCAGAAGCTCTCTCAGCCTTACCTCATGGGAGAGATGCTCCAGTCCCTTAATCATCTTTGTGGCCCTTCACTGGACTTCTTGCAGTACATCCATGGCTATTTTGTACTGAGGAGCCCAGAACTGGACACAGCACTACAGGTGTGGCCTCACCAGTGCTGAGTAGAGGGGAGGGATCACGTCCTTCAACTTGCTGAAAGTACTTTGCGTAATGCAGCCCAGGCTCCCATTCACCTTTTTTGTGTTGATGGCTCATATTCAACTTGGTGTTCACCAGGACCCACCCAGGCCCTCTTCTGTCAAGCTGCTTTCCAGCTGGGTGGTTCAGCACCACCACTGAAGTTAAATGATGGAGTTTGCTAGAGTTACAAAAGGACTCATAAGCCTATTTTAACATAGCCTTGCTGTATTAGATAAACTCCTTCCTGTGGGCTGGTGGGTGTCCAGCTATGTCAGTTGGTGTTGCTGAAAGTTTCAGAGATCTGAGCTCTAGTATTTTCATATCCCTTTCTGCCTGCTTCTAAGAGTACAGTGGGGAACATAACAAATTGGTTTTCTCTCCTGTTTCCTGAAACATTACTTAATGAGCAATGGTTACATGATTTTTCTAGTTTTAGTTTTAGTCTTGGGCTTCTTTCTTAGCCAGAACAGCTCAGAAAAATCCTGCAAGTTACTTTTGTTCCTATCTTCCATTTGCAGCATGTGGTCCAGTGTGTGTTTGTCGCCATCCGAACCATCGGAAACATTGTGATTGTCACCACTTTGCTGCAGTTCATGTTTGCCTGCATTGGAGTTCAGTTGTTTAAGGTAAAACCATTGGGCCCATTCATTCATCATACACTGAGCTGTATTACAGGGTAGGAAGAAAAATAAGATGAAGAAGCCTGAGGAAGAGGAGATGATGGAGTCTTCTATGTGAAAGACAAAACAATTGGGGCACTGTCAGTGTTACTAGGGCTCCTATTACCAGCAGGTCTCCCAGAAGTGGACAAGGTGTATTCAGAACTCCTGCCCTTTATCTGTAGTCATAAGAAATCATCAGTAACCTTGCCTAAATAGTTTGGGGCATGACTTAGTGCCAAGGAGGTGAAGAAGGCTGTTTGAATGGATTGGTACTTGCAGGCTGTCTACCCCACATGTTGTAGAGGAAGGGGCATGCCAGATAATCACAGGAGGTTATTCGTTCACTTCTATATGTCTGCTTTTATTTATTTGCCTTTTACCACCCTTCTGACAGCTAGCATTCTGCAACACTCAGTGGTCATACACCTCAGGGGACACACATAGAAGTACTGTGCATGCAGATGAAAGCCTGTGCTCTGAACCCAGAATCAGGCAACTCTTGATCCAGTTTGCTGACATCTACTTTCAAAAGGGCATGTAAACATACTCATAGTTACCTAAGCAAGTAATAAACACAGTCCCCTTGCTACATGATCTGTCCTAACCCTTGCACTGCCAGGGAAGGAAGCTTCATTCCTCTTTCCTCCTTTTCAAGGGCAAGCTGTACAGCTGCACAGATAGCTCCAAGCAGACGGCAGCAGAATGCAGGTGGGTCTGACCTTTCCCAGTTTGCCCCTTCACCGGCCACCCACTCTTAGGGCCTCATACTGGAAGTGCAGTTTTACTGTGTTCTCTCTCTCTCCATCCACAGAGGGTACTACATTACATACAAGGATGGCGAGGTCAACCAGCCGATGATACAGGCCCGGAGCTGGGAGAACAGCAAGTTTGACTTCGACAACGTCCTGACTGCCATGATGGCCCTCTTCACCGTTTCAACCTTTGAGGGCTGGCCAGAGTGAGTGCTTCTTGGACCAGAGCAACACTAGTAATGTCCTCATTCATTTCAGAAGAGACCAGCGCATAGCCTTTACCATTCTAAGTACTTAAATATGTCTAAAGCATTAAATGGAGCAATAGTAGCAGCACTCCCTGTACTATTTTGTAAATTCCCTAGGGCCCACAGGAATTGCTGTTCTTGTACTGTAAACAGTGCACAGCATTGTCTCTAGCTCTTAAAAAATGATTGTAGTAGCAGTGATAGCAATAGTAATACAAATATTATGTATATAAATGGATGTAAAGTGCCTGTTGGGCACTTACCAGCATTGCTAGGTGTTGTGAGCTTCCCAGTGGAGCCATCAGGGCAATGTGAAACACTACAGTGCTATTTCTGCAGTATGGGCAGACACGGGATGTCTTACCAGGCTGTGCTGTCTGTGCCCCAGGGGCCAAGGACTCCCACAGCACCACTCAGTCAGAGTGATGTGGGTGTGCAGGGTATCAAGGGGCTGACCCTGATTTGTGTCACCGGGTGATGCCAACGGCAGTGTTGCCAAATGTTAAAAGTGCTGAGATCACCTTTTCTCACAAAACACAGTTCCCAGTAACACAGAGTCTCCTGTCTTCTGTTAACCAAAGGCCATGCTTTTGTTTTAAATTTTAATTGTTCAACTATGAAAACATTTCACTCCTGAACAGGTTCAAATGTATAAAGTTAGCAAGAGCCATGTCTCCTGTTCTGCAAAAGTTTACACTCAGATCAGTGCAAGCCTGCGCATCTGTGAGTGAATTAAGTTCAAGTAGAAGAAAATCACAAAGTTAAACTTTATAGCATCACCTTTAAAGCCTCAAGGCAGTTGCAGATTTTCTCTGCATTTGGATCCTGTTTGCTTTCAGGTTGCTGTATAGGTCCATTGATTCCCACATGGAGGATGTAGGACCCATCTATAATCACAGGGTTGAGATCTCCATCTTCTTTATTATCTACATCATCATCATTGCTTTCTTCATGATGAACATCTTCGTTGGTTTCGTCATCGTCACATTTCAGGAACAAGGAGAACAAGAGTACAAGAACTGTGAGCTGGACAAAAACCAGGTAATTCACAACACCTTGTTGCCACTAAATGTCGAAAATACATTGAGAATAAGCATTTAAGAAAGAAGCACATATAGAGAGGAATGTAGGAAGATTGCCAACAAAATAAAACAATAAGCTGGCTTCACTGCCATCTTTCAGGAGTCAGGTAAAAGATACCTTGCTGTAAGGTTTGCTCAAAGGACAACATTTACATAGAAATGTGTGCTGTACCATTTGTCTCACTGAGATTAGATGAGCGTGACAGCATTGTCTGGCTAAAGTGAGTGCATATGGAACTTTTCAGCAAGTAGAATATGCACACAGACTATGGCTTAAACCAAATTCTTCTACCACACATTTTCATTTCAGTAAAAACTTGAAGCACAATGTATTTTTGATATATTTGGAGGTAGCTGACCAACTCTGTATTTTGGGTTTGATTTTTAAATCTACCTTGCCTCTTTCACAGCGCCAGTGTGTAGAATATGCCCTGAAAGCCCGGCCCCTGAGGAGATACATCCCTAAAAACCAGTACCAGTACAAAGTTTGGTATGTGGTCAACTCCACCTATTTTGAATACCTGATTTTTGTTCTGATCCTGCTTAACACCATCTGCCTGGCCATGCAAGTAAGTAAGCAAGCAGAAAACCTTACAGGTGATGAATTTTTAGACTTTGTTGGGGAAAATGTAAAATTGGCTGAGGTTGAGACCTACTTTCACCTTCACACCATTTGTAGAGGGAGATGATAAAAAACTTTGTATCATGTTCACTCCTGATGACATTTAGTTAAGATGAAGAATCTGCCACTCTTCTTCCTGCTAATACCTGACACTTTCAACAATTCTGTTTTAACTCCTTAAAAACAAACAATTGAAAAAAAACAAAACAAACAAACAACAAAAAAAAAAAAAGGAAAAAAAAAAAAAAAACCAACAGTGACATCACAGACCAATTCACTGGCCTCTGTAACAACTGACTTCTCTGTTCTGACTTGTCTTCTATGAAGTGCAGCAGTAAGCCCAGAACAGCCACTAACTTGAGATCTGAATTTTAAATGTGAGGCTTTCCTGTGTTAAACAGTAGAGGGAAAATATTTTGGCAAACAAGGCACTCAGGAAAAATGGATATAGAGGGTAGGAAGATCCTAGTATCTCCTTTATTCTGCACTAAGAATGATAGAAACTGTCTAGAAAGAACTTCTAGAGGCCGCATTGTCTATCCCATCACCTAAAGGCAAGATCAGCTCCACCTAAAGCACTTCTTGATAGGTGTTTGCCTAAGCTGCTTCACTAGTGATGCTACTGATTGCCTTACTACCTGCTATGAGGTGCATTCATTTTCCTTAACATGTGAAGAGTTTCCAAACACCTAACATGGATCCATCAAAGAAACATTTGCAGCTGGATCTACAAGAATAACAAATAGATGTAGTAGATTACCACATTCAAGTGAAACAGCAGTAAAAGGGAAGGAGGCAAAACCTTTACTAGGTAGCCAGTATACAAAAAAAAAGAAGTCTTACGTTCCTTTCAGCCAAGAAGTGGGCCCTCATAGACACACTGTTCTGTACATTTCCCAAAGTCTGTACTTCCCTGGATTCTTCCTTCCAGTCTGTCTCTGCCCAAAGCCTCCATCATCTCCCTTTCATTTTCAGTCAGTCTCGGACAATACATGCTAAGCCTCACTCTGCACTCCCAATTTCATTGGCTACTTGAGCCCCATCCTCTTCTACACTCTACCTGCTTAAGACCTAGTCTACTTGTTGCTTTCCTTGCTAAAAACCATCCTTCCTCCTCACCCAGTCAGTCCTTGAACTCTTTTCCTTGATCTGTGGCCCAGACAGTTCAGATCCTCCCTCCTCAACCAGTCCTTCTCATTGCAGAGACTCCCAGTTGCAGTTACCCCTTCATGGACTTTATTTCTGGTGTCTCTCTGCCCTTTCCATTTGACTGTCTGGTACACTTTGTTCCCCTCTCTAGTGTGTCACTTACTGTGAGTCCAACTCCCCATGCATTCCTACACCAACTTTCCTTTTGACCTTAGCAGCCCACTGCCACATTTTCCACTGCATCAATCAATCCCAGTCTGCCTCACTCCTAGCCTCCCATCAAAACTAGCCTCAGCTTCATATCACTCACTAATAAGTGTAAGTCTATATTCACAGTCAATTTTTACCTTATTTTCCTTCACTGTCTCCGGTCCAATCTCACCAGAATTCTTGATCTCCCTACTTTTTTGTCACGTTGTCTATCTCTTTCCCGTTCCCATTGAAAAGGCTTCCTCTCTTGTCTTGCCTAAGGTACAAAGGAATGAGGCAGCATGAGCAAAAGAATGTGCTCTGCTCTCAGCTGAAGTATCTACTGGCCTGCTGTCATGAAGCAACAAAGAGGGACTGTTATGTTCACTGTGAAGCTTTGAAGCATGCTCAGTTGGTGTGACAATGGTGCATGCCCGGGGCAGGTAGAGCTAGAAGCTGTGAGATGTTTGTGAGCCCACAGGCAGGACAGCATCTTTGGAGATTCTGGGAAGTCTATATCCATCTTGAGAGAAGTATAGTATTTCAAAGGCTTACACTGTGGCCAGATTTGGGTCAAATATCATAATGGACAGCAAATACGAAAGCCACGTTCCAGTGAAACTCCAGATTTTTAAGCAGAGTCCTGCAGGTACCAGAGTCTTTCAAGGAAAATGTTACAAGAAACTTTGAAAACACCTCAACAACATATTTTTCCCTGGCCTGGCTTTCAGCTGCAGTTGAATTGTTTTAACTGAAACTCATCTAAATAAATCACCTCCAGCCAATGCTAAAGGTGAAAATTAATCCCATCTGGTTAAAGTTTATCAAAGTTAAAAGCAACACACGAACTGGAAGGTGACCTTAGAATAAAGCAGTGCAATTGGTCTCAAGTACAGTGATGTGAAAATAGTGAGTGTGGCAACAGTGAGGTGCCAACATCTGCAGAAGAAGCAAATGGACAGTATTGATTTTAAATTTAAATCATGGTTGACAAAAGCAAGATAATGCATATTGGAAAGATGTTACTTCAGCTGCTTGTGTACTTTGCAGAATCCTGAATTAAGTGTATTTATTATCATAAATAGTATGGGTATCATTATTAACAGCGCAGTGAAACCCCTGTGCACTGTGCAGTAGCAATCAAACAAAAAAGTAATCCAAGAGTTAGGGAGGGGTGACATAACAAGCACAACTGGAGACTGGCTTGTACTATTATGCAAATTTATAATGAGCCCTCAACTGAAACGACAAGTGTGATTTTGGTAGCCCACGCTCAAAAATCTTTTTTTTTTTTTTTTAAAAAAAAAAAAAGATAGGGAATCCAGAGCCTGATGGCAAAAATGTTGGAAATGCATATGTGTGAAGGGAGATGGGAATGCTAAATTGAAAAAAATTGAGCGTGCTGGGGTTTTCATTAGAGAACCTCAACATAAAAGGAGATCAGGAAGACCCCTGTGAATTCCTAACTAGCTGATATGTCTGTTCCTCACACTGCTGCCGGGATATTTTTCAGCACTACGGTCAAAGCTGCATGTTCAAAGAAGCCATGAATATCCTCAACATGCTCTTCACTGGTCTCTTCACTGTTGAGATGGTCCTGAAATTAATCGCCTTCAAACCTAAGGTAGGTTCTATAGGCATAGAGTTTCCTGGCCAGTGTGTGTGCATGTGTGTGGGGCAGCTGTGAGGAGAAGGAGGAGGTGAAACTTTCTGATCTATTACCCCACCAATAACTGAGCTGCACAGTTGCTCTCTGGATTGGAGTCTCACATTTATTTAATAACTCTTTCACTGGAGAGTAGACATACTAAAAAAAAAAAAAAAAAAAGGTAACATCTGCTAATAGAGAAGGTTCCTAGTGGTCTGTTTTTATTAAGTTATATAGTGTCACTATGTTAAGGCTATAACATTCTGAATGATATTCTAGTGCTCTCTCTGACTTTCTTCAAATAAATTATAAATAGCATCCCATGATTAGTCTCCTGGCCCAAGTAAAGTTAATCAAGTATGACTTCATTTTGAGTTATGAACCCTGGAAAAAAAAATGTTTCTTCTGGGAGGGCCACATCTCAATAATAGGTTTGATTGCTTTAGTTTTGAATGTAAAACTTCCTCAATAATATTCAGTACCCCAGCAGGTTCTGTCTGAAAGTATTGTCCTGTCCATTGGGCCATGTCATTCTGCTAGTGTAGCTGCACCGTGGGGTGTGATTATGACCTATAAGCTCTTCCAACTAAACTGGCACAGCTGCTGTAGGGGAAGGGCAAACATTCTGACCTCACATAACTTAAGTTTACACAAGGCTTTCTTTTTTGGGGTTTAAATTCAGTGGTGTGTCATAAGGAGTAGAATCCAGATACCTAAACACAGGTACCTCATGTCATTTCATGTCTTCAATGATCCCTTGACACATGGGGTTGCATCTTGAAGGATAGCTTGATACATTGGAGTTGGCAAATACTGTCTGAAGCATCAGTTATGACATTGGTAAAGATGAGAACAATCATGTCTGGCAGTCATGTTTGTGCCTCATGTTAAACACAGGAGATCGCTGTTAAAAGCCTAAGATCTTCCTCAGCTCAGAAACTTTGCTTTCCAATTCTGCCAAATTTGCTTTACGTTTTCTTGTTAATTCTGTATTGACTTTACTCCCATTCAGCCTCTCTCTCCTTCTTCCCTACTTTCTAGGACTTCTTAAAAGAGTCCAAATTTTCTTTTTTTCCTGAATCAAATATCACTCTCCTATCTCAGATGTAGTTCTCTTGAAAGTTAGGAGCATCTTGTGGAATTGTGCTGAAGGACTCTTTTTTTTTTTTCTTGCTTTGTAAAATCTCAAACACCATCTTGGGAAATTATAGAAGTGTTATCATCTGTTTTAGAAGGGATTGTAATTTTCAAGAGGGATCTACCTTTCACTTTTGAGATTTTGTCATGTCTATTAGCAAGCAAATCTTCTGGCACTTTGTAAAAATACCATCTGCACACTGTATACCCAGAAGTGTATCTCACAGGCTGTATAATGTTCTTCTGATTTCATGGTTCTCCTTTACAGCAGATTCTTAACTTTGAGGAAGGTTAGGTTCTCAGCAGAATTTGTTTGAGCATTTAGCGGAAAAGTTCAACCATATTGAGCTCTGTACAAATGCAAGGAAGTCTCTAACTGATATAGATGCCTTTAACAGTAAGGAATTGTCACTGATGATATTGGAGGCCCGTTCTACTTCCCGTGTCCTACTTTCCTGTGTTCGATCTCCTTTTCAAGTTTTGCTGCACAACCAAGTATTAAATAAAATCAACTGAGGGTAAACATGCATACTCTGGGTAGCAAAATATTGGAAGAGATTGCCTAAGGAGATTGTGGAATCTCCATCCATAATTTGAGGTTTTAAGAGGGGAACCTTTTAGTAGAAACAGTTTAGGAATGTATGATCTGCCTTGAGACAGGGCAATAGACTAGACCATCTCATGAGGTCCCTCAGAGTCCACTTTCCATGACTGTAATTTCCAAACTAAATTTCCAAACACTACACTATAGTGAAAGCAAGAATATAAAAGTTTTCCTTGTGACCAGAATAGTAGAGTCTTAATAAAATCTTCTCAACTAAGGATCAGATAACAACCTCAGGTTGGGTCCTGAAAGAATAACCAGCAAAAAGACTGAAGCTGTTTCAAATCCTAGTCTGGCCTGTATGCCAAAAATAGTACTAAATCTTAAGCTTCTATTTTAATTAAATACCTTCAGGGAAATAAACTTTTTTTTTTTTTTTAAATGGAACCAGAGGATTCACAAGGAAGAAGAACAAGAGTGAAGTTGTGAAAGCAACTAATATGGCATAAAAACTTGCCTCTAGCAGTATATTCACATGGGATTATGTTGAGTACCAGTTCAGTGACTCAGGTTTGGAAACATCAAAATTTCTTCTCTAACTTGTCGTTGTCTGTTCAGTACAAGGATTTGGCCTGCAACCTTCATTCCCTAGTCCATATTGACTCAATCTGCACTTCAGAAAAAGAAAACCCCTGTCCTAGATGACCACTTGGACTGATGTGGACCAGCACTGGGGGGCAAAATCAATCTACTTCTCTTTAGGTTGCACATTGGGATTGAAGCTGAATTTGCCTAGAATATGTTCTGCTGTGGGAGTCTCCCAGAATGGAGAAAGTTATTACCTCAGCACTCTTCTTGGCCAGACCTTGTGTTCTCCTACTGCTGAAGGTATAAAAGCAAACTATATTTGCAGATGGAGGTTGTCCCCAGGAACACCATCTGGAAAATCACAAAAGGATTTCCTTATCACATGGATGTACATCATTACAGCACTGCCATCATTCTCTCCTCTCTCAACAACCAAGTCTTCCAGACAAAGAAATGTGGTTCTAAGTGATACTAGTGTTTCCCAGATGTGAAATGGCAAGACTAAATGCTCATTATGTCTCTGCTGAAGACAGATGTCTGTCATTCCCTGAGCAATAAAACACAAATTGCTTTGTCTTCTTTTGAACTTGTGCCCAAACATCACTCTTTTCTGCCTGAAGAGTACCCTAAAATGAGGGAGCTGTAAGATTTATGACTGACAAGAAAGCAGGAAACGTGGTTAGCTGAAGATGCTGTGTCCTCACCTTAATGACAAGCCCCAGCAGAATGTGGTAGAACAGAACTGAGCACAGAACTGAAGCTGGCAAAATTTGCTTTGTTTTTTCCAACTTTGTGGTGCTTAACCCACCAGTGGGTAGTGCAGCTAACCTTCAACTACAGCAAGCAACACAGTAACTGACTTGTAACTCCATGCCACAGAGCTCTCCCTTGCACAGCTGCTTCCTAAAGACACCTTGGAATGAAAGGTCTGCAGCAGCAACAGAGGATCATGGTTTTGTCCACCTGTGCAAGGTAGAACGAGCTGCTGTTTAGTCATACCTTTACCAGAGAGAATTGCTAAAGCAACTGGGGCAGATTTCTCAGGTACTCAGAGCTGCTGCCACCCTATCTTCCTACAGCAGTCACCACAAGGATGTGCCCATGAAAAACAGCTTTGGAGGAAGCCTAACATGCAGAGTTCCTGCTGCAGGCAGTACTATGGTCATTGCTATTATATGAAGCATTACCATGCATACAGTGCTACCTGTGTATTACATGCATAAAAGCAGAAAATGTGGCAGTCTCTGACTGAACAGATTTTTTGATGTACCCAGGTTTTATTTCTTCACTCCCATTCTGTGAGGAGACATGTCTTTCTTATTTGCTACTCTTGATAGTAAAGGTGAAAAAACCCAACCACAGCTGCACAGACATTAAGTAGTATCACGTGTGCCTGACTGCAAAGAATCAGCATGGATAATCCAGCCCTGCAACTAGTTCTTGTGGTAAGGGCAAGGATTTATTCATTGAAAGGCCAGCTGTAGGAATGAGGAGCCCATCTTGAATCTGGTCTCATGTCCTAACACAGAAAGTATGTGAAGAGGCTAGAAAGACAGGGGCTTTCCTAACTAAATATACTATTACTTGTTGAGATTAGTTGCACTAGTCAGCAAGTCCTTTTCATACCTGTTCTTTTTATGAGCCATCTTCTGTGAACAGTGTTTTGATTTGTTTGGTCTCAAAGGAGGCTATAGGGAAGAGGCGTGCATTAGCTGGAGCAGCTGCTGCTGGTATAGATAGTGCATGCCAAGCAGGGACAAGACCAGCCTCTTGGAGCTTCCATGTTTCTGTGTGGCACCTTTTTTGGAGGACAGGATCAGTTATCCCAGCTCTTTTGCAGGATAAACCTAAGCACTGTGTAAGACAGCTCATCTGTGTCACATGCAGTCTTGACAGGAGGGTACGCTAACAGTGAGCAAGAGAGATTTGGGATGATTAGGACTGCTGATAAAGAAAACATTCACTACACGCCTTGTATCTCCTTACAGAGTACTAATGTACTGCTCTGAAGCAAAACTCCCAATGGACCTGAGTGTTTGGCTTGGCTGACTCTCATAAACTGATTCAATACTAGTTACTTCAAAGAGACAGACAGTCTAAAAGTAACACTGTTGAGCCAAGGCCTTTTGCTGCTTTGTTTTTCTAATTTTATAAATTCACTGGCCAATCTGGTGAGCTATCTTCCAGTTCCTGCATAAAGTGGGTTGCTGCTGCTTGATGCTTTTTTTCCAGAGAAAACTACTAAAGGGAATGAGAGATACTGTGCTGTCTGGGGTGCTCACAGCTACCACTGTCCTAGCTTCTTAGAGAAGAAATCCCTACAAACACCAGTTCATGAAGGACCAGATGCTCTACCAAACCTGCCTGGGGTTTATCTTCTCAACTCAAAGGCAGCAACTTAAAATTCCTATTCATACAAAGCTGCACCATCTGTCAACTTATGTGCTAATACAGGGATGGATATTCCTCCAGGAATTTCTGATCTTTCCAGCTTCCTAGGATGATCTGTTTTACTGATGAACCACATCTACATTTTCTTTCAGGAAGCATTTCATCTATCCCCTTATTAACTAGGGCAGGACTGGTAACCCAAGAACTATGAATTTTCTACCACTGACCCTGTCATCTCAAACTGGGGAAGACATATTGGTGGAACTACTCCCATCCATAAAGTAAAGCATATGTTCATATATTCTGTCAAATCCAG